GGGGGGGGGTTACCCCATATTGCTGAATGCAAAAGTCTTCACCTTCAAAGTCTTCTCTAATGCTTGTCATAACAGAATGCCGCAGAAATTTCAAGTAAATGGAACCGGTATAATGCAATTACTTTTAGTGTGTATACATTTTTGGGACACCCTGTATTATATATTAATCGTAAAAAAAGACTATTAACACCTAGTTACATACAATTTTATTAATCTAACTCGTATGGTAAGTAAGAAAAAATTACCACATTGTTTTAACAGTTTTTAATAAATGATATGATGAATTGAACAGCATGCAGGATTAAGAAAACCAAAATTCAGAAGAAAGTAAAAATTCCAACCTATCGCGAAGATATGATAGGCAATTCATGGTTGATAGTTGGCAATTAATGGAAATAACAGAGAATCAGGAATCCTTTTACCGCGATTTTACCATTCATGAAGTTCATTTTAAATATGAAAAGGTAAAAATCAATGACACTTTATGTTTAGGATTACCTTCAAGTCAAACATCAAGGCGATACATTCAATTAAATTAGTAGTAAATGTCATTTGTCGTGATTTCAGTAGTCTCAATAATTTAATCCCATATACTGAAAACGGAACATGTGTAGATCTTCCAATCAATGCTTGCAACCCATTATTTCTCTATTTAACCCAAACTGGGTAATGAAAGAAAAACATCGCCGTTATTTATGATTCTTCGCCTGTTGTCGCAGTAAGCTAACACGTAACATTTCTGAAATATTAATGCTACCATGAAACGGTTTGGAAAGTTAAATAAGAAAGACTATGTGTAATTAGTACCTGACACGATAATTCCATTAAAAATGACACTCTGCAAATTCCAGATGTGAAAAAGTAAGCTCAAAAATTATAACATGGCACGAAAAAATTAAAAATTCAGAAAAAATAATAAATAATCTAACTTATTAAAAGGCAGCAAAAGCTTTAATTTAAAAATTAATTATCATTTTAAAGAGTGTAGTGAATTGAATATGCATATTATTATATTAGTATGGATAGCTTACTCAGTCTTTTGAAGAGCTCTTTCATATTTCGATTTGTTAACAACTTGGCCAACTTTCAGTAATTGAACTATACCTTCTCCAGTACCAATTATAAGAGAAGTGTCATCCAAAAAGCGAAGTGATGTAACACCTAGGCTATATTTGTCGCGGTCAGGAAAAACTAACTGCACAATTGCTGAACCGATTCGCACTGCTAAAATGTCACCAGATGTAGTAGCACAATATAACATTTCATCATTTCTATCAGCCTATAAGTATAATTTATTAATAGGTTTTATTGATATTAAAGTGAATAAATCGAGAGGAACGCATAATATTAACTTACTAAAACTTTAGTGATCGTTCGCTTATACTGACGAAGGCTGCAATCAGTTGGATGAATTTTTCTATTCTGTATGTCCGCTTGCCAAATTCGTAATATAGAACTGAAAACCGATAGTAAATGGAAATATTCTTCCTACTCTCCACCGGTGAAGAACATGTTTTCATTGTTGTTAGAGTAAGTAATACATCTAGTTATTCCAGCGTTATTAAATTGAGCTGAGCTACCGCAAATAGCGGCCAAATTTTCGACCGACCATAATATGACACTAAATTGTAAATATGAACCAAGTTACTCAAACCTTCCGTCATCCTGTCCACCTATACTAACTAAGTATTTTGCATTTGGGGAAAACGCCAGGGCCTGAACTTTGACGCTGTGTGAGATGAAGCGTGTTATTTCTTTCTTCTCCGCATAATCCCAGAGAATTATATCAGCCTATTTTACCAATAATTTTGACATATTTTGCAAAACCTTATATCCCATGTGAGTAATCTGTCCAGATGCTAGATAGCACCCATCGCGGGATACGGCTAAACATACAATACTATTCGAATGACCTTGTAGTAAGCTCTGCTGATGACTAATTATATCCTCTATAACGACTGCACTTCCAAGTGCATAGATGTAATTCTGACGATCGGGGTGAATTTGAAGGCAATTATCAACGGTACCTAGATTTTATCACTGAATTGCTATAACAAACCATTAAAACCGATGGCGCCCCTCAGATTTAATTTTTCATAACCTTTAACCTCTTCAGACATAATTAGCGGAATAATAGAATGGGTGTTCGTTAAGGGATTTTGTTACTTTTATTTTGGTAAATATCTATACTACGTCGGTTAAATCTTAATGCGCTTGTATGAAATTATAGTTCAATTAGTTTCGCGTTAAAATGCAAGGTTACATACGTTTAACAATGAGTTTAAACGAGAATCGAATTATTGGTTAAAATCTTAAAACATCTCCATTAAGGAAATAAAATGCAATTTCTCTTAAAATTATTTCCATAACAGTGCAATTTGATAATTATATAGAAAAGATATAGTATTAAAAATCAATTTTGTAATTCTGAGCCAACTTTACCCATAGCCTATGTGAACTTAAATGTTTATTAAATACTAATACTTATTTCCACTTAAACATTTGAAATTTATGAAAATAAAGGAAATTAAGCACTTAATTCTATTATTGACTTAATATTCTCCAGATTGACTTTTATAACCATTCAGTTTACAAGATTGCCGTAGTTAAGCCTAAGGATTACAACAAGTACTTAAAGGTACTTCGCACTATTTATAAAAGCTTAAAGCTGAAAATTAACTCGCAATATAATTAAAATTCAAAAAGTTAATATTTGGATTACTCTTCCGTGTTAAAATTTGAACGAAGTTAATGTGGATTTATTTAGGGCATAAAATTACCTCTTACTTTTCTTAACATTATGCGCATAATCACTGGTTGATTTTAGACTTGGGTAATAAATATATCCATATATGGAGATAAACTCATTTAAATGTCTTGGAAAAGAGATGCTAATTCTGTTCTTATGATAACGAAAAATATACTATGAAACATCACACACTAAACAAAAACAAAGATAAAATAGTTTGGTGCTAAACCTGTAACCAAAGCATATACTTATATGTTAACTGAACTGGTGGTCTTTTCGACCTGTCTTTACTGTGGCCCACTATGGCATAGGTATTTGCATGGTAATTGTGTTACTCGTGTATACTTTAAATTTAGAGACATTTACCAAAACTAACTCGTCTGTGGCAGTTGCACAGAGTGCCATACTCTATCGAAAATAAATATATCACATGTATTAAGTTTCTATCGAATTAAAAATATTCCACTTACTGTCAGAATTTCACCTACTACTTTAAAATAGATTGCCAAAGGCTCTTAGATGTAATTCAAAAGTAATAACATCCTTAGAACCCCAAGTGAAAAAAAGTTATAAAATAACAGCACAGCTCAGCCAACATGAAGGTGAAAATGGGGAATGATAATATAAGTAAATATGCCAATTTCTTATTTGTCAAGAAGTGAGCGTTTTCATTTGCAAAGAATAATTTACTAAAATATTTATATCCAAAAAAATTATTTTAAACTAATCTGTTGGTTTATTAAAATAGCGACAAGTTTATTACCCTGATATGTTATCAAGTTTGGGCATTATTCGGTTCGCTAGAGAACAAACATGGTTTTAAAAATTGGATGTTCGATTTAACAAAATACGAATTGATCAATAAGATCCATAACCTTCACGTTTGGTTAAAAGTGAATAGAGGTCTACTTATATTTGGATAACCGGGGTGTGCGATAGACTTACCTCCACGTGGTGCACCCTGGGCAACGTATATTCATACGGCAAAAAAGTCTATTAACTGGCAGTTGACTTCTCACTTCAAACTACCCTCACCCTATTGTATGTCATATTCGACTACTTCCACAGTACTCACCTCACCTTTTTCTACCTTCGTCTTTGAAGCACTATTCTGTTCCCTCCCCCCTCTCGACTTTTTTTCCCACTTTGATGTTCCTTACCCTATGTGAAGACTGAATTCAACTAAAGGGCTAATGATAACCATCAAGACGCCTGCCATTTGATATAAATAAAATATTTGGATAACCTTGTCCATTTTATTAGTTTTTGGCGCTTTGATTTAGATCTGAAGGTTGAATTGATGTTAACTTTTCCCATTCACCTTGTTGAGTAACAATTAGTATGAATAATGACAAAAATGAGGAATTCAGGTGGTTATATTACGGACATCTTCTATCTTGCGTTATTTTGTGGACATATGCTA